TGTCGGTAGGAGTTTTTAGAAGTTTTCATTGCATACTGCATCGATAAAAAATGTAATGATTACGAACTTCATATCTCATAATTTTATATAACGTATAAATTTATCGACATAAAAAAAATTTTAAAAATAATTAACCGCAAATTAATCGTAGAATTATTATAAGATATAACAAGAAAATACAAGATATTTAAAACATCTTGATAAAGTTACAGCTAGAAAATCTTTTATCAAAATGTGCTGAGCATTCTCAAAAACACAGAAAATCGCAATGGCCAATTCCGATACAAGAGTTAATTTGTCTCGAAAATTATGTACAAAAAACTGGCATCGCTATATGCGAAAATGCATTTTGCGAGTCGCATTTCGATCTTCAGCTTTAAAACGACTAGAAGAGATCCCGGATATCATAATTTCCCCGTCGACGACTAAAAATGCTACTTAAATAATTGAATCTTTTACAAGACATTCTATACTTCCTCAAAATTCCGCGAAAAATATTGCTATCGATGTAGATTAATACTTTCACGACAGAAAAATTTTATACAACAATAAAAATTAAGATATCTTAAATGATAAAGATTAAAAGTTTTTAATTCTTTTCATATGCAAATTTCATTTACAAAAATTATTTAATATTATTTCTGTAGATTTTATATTTATAAATATTAAATAATAACTGTTTTTTTTAATTAATATATTAAATATTATTGGCCAAATATTAGAATATGTTCAGCTATTAAGATATTTATCTTAATAAATATGCCAATAAATCTCGTCGTATTCAGGATTAATACGTTATAATTATTGTAATATGATTCACAATCCAAATCGCGCCAAGTCATGTAATAGTCTATTCAAGGTCTACATAATGATACATAATAATCAATCACACTAGGAAATAAACTATCTTGCTATAAACAAACAATTTAATTTTGCGACTGTGATGTAATTGCAAGTATTTCGCTGTATAAGTAAAAGTGTCGGACAGAATATAATTCAGAATCAATAGAATTAATCTGACGATCTATACTATATTCATCAATATCTAATTACATCATAATACACATTTACAAATAAAAAATATTTTTTGTATTTTGTTAAATTACTTTCTTCAAAACTTGAAGACTGATCTCATAAAGTTTTTTATTCTTGCTGGATATGCATAAGATATATCAAAAATACACATCTAGTTTTGCGCAAAGTTTCGCGAGTGAATAGACACAGAGATTGTTCAATCGTATTTATAAAGTGGCACTTCGTTTTCTACTTCCGCTGATTGCATCTATCGAGAAGATCGTTGATCCCCAAGAACCCATACCTTCCTCAATATAGACGTGAACGAAATGCAACCGAAGGTCAATTCTATCTAGATGCTTCGCGAAATAACATGTGCAAAATTCAAAAATGATGATTCACAGAATGATTTATTATCAACAATCTTTTATCTCTACTTTCATTATCCTCTCATCTTTCTGCATTGTTTAATTTCTTTAAATATAATGCAACGTGATTTCTTCACAACAATTATCTATTTTTTGCATAAAATAGACAATCTCAAAAATAGATATATATCAAAATTAAAATTAAACCCTAAAATGCTTAGCAACATTCCGTAAACGCTCACCCGCTACTACATTTATCCTATGTGCAATTAAAATTTCAAGTTTATCTTAGGAATCAATTAACGTCCTGCAAATGAAACTAATTAAACACCAAAACTTTAGAGCGTAATGCAAGTACACCAGTAAATTGTCGAATATTATGAAAGATGATATATTCACGGTGTGCGCATAGCTTTACCACAAAGCCTGGCACTCGCAAACTAGTATCTAAAAAGCCTAATCCAACTAAACAAAGTGTACATATAAACTGCTAATCAAATCGGCGACGAGCGCTATTCGAACGGTTTTCTGTGAGATCGCACAATTGACAATCACGATTGCTCTTGAAGATGTTATTGCGATTTATTCCGAGCGAAGACATAAGTCTTACGTGTTGTCTTGTTAATAGATTTATGATTTACGACCTATTCTTTTCATATACTATATAAAAGCTTGACTACAAAATGTAGAGTTTACTTTACTGAGATTGTAATATCAAAAATATTATTCAAAATATTCAGAATTTGTCTCTTCTTATATTTTAAAAGTCATAAAAATTAACAAAAACATTCTAAATTTTGTATTTCTATTGTATCAAATAATTTTCCTTGTTTTGCTGATCGATAACGAAGCTTGCACTTTTGTGAATGTAACCACGACACATTTTAATTTTTATAAAAAATTGAACATATGCAGAATTTGATTAAAGTTGATTTGATTTTGCAGTATGCATATACATACACATGCACGCAATATAGACACATATGTAGTTGACGCTTCAATTGATTGACCACTATTTGCCGAATATTAAGCAGAAACTTTATAGAAAACTTTATGGAAAAAAGTACATTTAGCAAGAGAAAAGTACATTTTTACTTGCATTTTTCATATATGCATCTATAAAAATTCATTACAATCTATTTCTTTCAAGTTCTAATTATATAAATTAAAAATAAAATTGGGATACTATAAATAATAAATGTTTATCCTGTTATAAAATAAATATGTGTCCGTTTCATTCTTTCTGATAATTAATGTTTTTGTGTATTGATTAGATTAATGCACGTAGTGCGCATATCGAATATCCATCATTGGTTTCCGCTTTCGTTTTCTCAACAATTCTATTTTCGCTTTCTTACACGATCCTATTTCAATAACTTCGAAGAACAGTCCCACAAGATCAAAAACAACAGCTAATATTTAGACTGCAAGGCTACTCATTAAATAATAACAAACAATTTCTCGAAAAAGAATCTATATATTACAGAATTTAACGATTTAAATATTTCTTGTATATCGTATTAATTATACGTAAAAAATGTTTGATAATAACCAGAAAAAAAGCACAAATTATTAAAAGAGATAACTGATTTGTTAAAAGCTTTGCATGCCAGTAATTTTTGATTGATTAATGATAAATAAAATTTATTATGTTGCATTTATACTTAACAAATATATAATTAAAATCTATTTCTAAATTTCTCAAATAAATTTAAAATTAATAAAAGTAATTTTAAACATCATTGATATTCATCAATTTTTAACAATTTAGGGTTTTTAACAAATGTCTTAACCTATAAAATTGCCCTAATCTAGAGTCAATTGAGGCAAGGGCATCACATGATTAAATACAAAGCATTATGACTCAGATAGTCAATAGTTTGGCATTCTAAACATTTGTATAAAAGATTACTGTAAAAAAAAATTAATAATAGCCTATATAATTAATAAATTAATCAATAAAAATGTAGCTTCAGATTTTTAACCAATTGTCGTGATGCATGGATATGTATAGACACATTGCGACTGCTTTAAATTGCCTCAGATTGATGCAACTTGATGTATTAAAGTATTTATGCCGCCTTATTGTACAAGCTCATATGTTCGACGTGTGCGTATATGGGTATATGCTCTTATCACGCATGATCCCCCCCCCCTCTTCAAGTATAATTCCATTCTCCAAAAATTATCGTAACAGATATCATGTATCCAATGATACACATGCAAGAATTAACATTCTATGCTCATAAAGTCTATATTATTAAAATACCTTATTGATTTTTATCTTTAACCATGTATTATTATTTTAATATTTCATATTTATATTGGAATAATATATATATATATATAATTCTTCTTTTATATAATATATTATTTTTACATAATAGTTACTCTTTTGTTCACAATTATTCACTCTCATCAATTAAATATATCAAAATATTTTCTATCAAACACACAAAATATTGGCATAACCATTATTTATATATGATGTAATATTAATCTTGTTAGAAAACGTCATGTGATCTCACACACATATAGGTGATCCAAAACCAATCTTATCACCATTCAATATTATAACAACCCAAATATTCCGTTTAATAATAATATTGCATTAATGATTATTGTATCAATTTCAATTGTATTCTATTATTGTAGTAGTTGTATTTTATTATGTCCAATATATATAATAATAATAATTTTAATATATTTTATCATAATTTAATATAATTGCACATAAATTTAATGTATTTCTTTTAAAATAATGTAATTCTAAATTTATGAAAATGTCTTTCTTTTATTCTTGATATTTCTGTTGCAATTTTCTAATACACTTAAGATCTAATAAAAAAGTATTGTTAAATTACTTCTATTTTTACCGATATATCATTGAATATACAATAAATTTATATGGTTCATCAAAATCACGTTAAATAAATTGCTGATAAAGAATAAACTTTTATGAACTCATAACGACACAATAAAGCTCCTATATCTTATGCTTCTTTGTAATCGTTCGTATACTGCAGCCTCGCGATATCACATTCCAAATAAAAACGTATGTACTCCCACGCAAAGCGTAGAATTGAAGTTATCCGACTCCTTTTGTTTGTACATCAGCGCGCGTGTGTGTGTGGGGGGGAAT